ATAACGTTGCGCGCCTACGTTGATGTCTGGTACCTGGCACTAGCGCCATCTAGTGTCGGGGAACAGAGCGAGGAGGGCTTCCTAGAAAATGCCAATCTTGAACTTTCCACCAACAGCGCCATCTAGTATTGAATTTGGCGATACGAGCGAAGCTTCGGAGCGAAATAAAGTGAACTTAAAGTGATTAGTGTGATTAATTATTAATATTTTTTAAGTTTTAATTTGTGTTCGGTAATTAAAGTGTTAATTTTGGTAATTCAATCGGCAGTTTTTATTGTCACGAACCCTAAGCTCGTAACAATTGGTGTCAGAAGTGGGATAAAATCATGCCGATTTTACCTAAGGATGAAATGGAGGGTGTCCGTACCCGAAGTCAACGCCAGCAGGAGACGGACCAGAGACGATTTGGTGGTGTAACGCCGCAGACATCTGAGGGCCAGCCGCCGGCCACTGAAGCCGGCCCATCAGCAGCTCCTACGTCTGCAGCACCTGACTTAGGTGATCTGATGGTGATGTTGTAGCAGCTGCGGGGCGGACAGAAGAACCAGGCCCATCGACAGGAGGAACAGGCCCGTCGGTTGGCAGATCAGCAGGCGGAAAAGGCACTTCGATTGGAAGAGCAGCTGCGGGGCAGACAAGAGGAACAGGCCCGTCGGTTGGAAGAGCAGATGCTCCTCATGAAGGACCTTCACGCTACCTTCAGGAAGGAGATAAAGGAGGTCAAGGAAAGGACCTCAAAATTGGGGATGGAATAACAGTTCCCGTGGTCGCTACAACACCTTCAGTACGTGGATTCAAAGTGCCACCGTTTGACGGGACTTCTTCCTGGTCGGCCTACAAAATCCAGTTCGAAGCCGTTATAAAGGCGAACGGCTGGAATAAAAGTCAGGCCATGACTGCTCTCACACTAGGCCTGCGAGACCAGGCCTTAACTGTTCTAGAAGCTTTCGGTAAAGACTGACTTACGAGCAGCTCCTTGAGGCATTGGAGGCCAGATATGGCGACGCTCACTTGGAACACATCTTTCGAGGCTAAGAGATCGCGTGCAACACCAACGAAAACTTGCAGCAGTGGGCCCTTGAGGTGGAGAAGCTGGTGCGAAAAGCATACCGGTCTGTACCTGCGCTCATAGAAGGGAACCTGGTGCATTCCTGGAACATTCATCGACGGCATCCGCGACCTTGAAGTCAGAGCCGCTATGAGGCTCGGGCATCACGTGATACTTAAGGAAGCCTTGGCCCATGCACTTGAGGTTGAAACCGTGCGGCGGGATCATCGCTCCCATCGCGTCAGGGAGGTACAACAGCTACAGTTCACGAACGCAATAATGGATACAGCCCTAGGTGCTATGGCTGTGGGGAAAGGGACCATCTTCGACCCAGCTGCCCTAAGCGGTCTGTAAAAAGGGAAGGTGCTCGATCTCGAAAGGGTAGTGCGGCTAACAGCACCGCCCAGCAGCAGCAGGAATACGACTTTACTATCGGACACTGCAGCGGGAAATGACGAGGCAACACAGATGCATTATCAAGAAGACCTTATCCTGATGATTGCGAGAACAGTACTAGGCAAGAGGGTAAGGAAGTGGTATCCGTGAGCGTGAAGGACAGCTTACAACATGCACAGCAGGAAGATTCGAACATCAAGCCGATTCTGGAATGGATGAAGGCCAGTGCTTCCAAGCCCAAGTGAAGCAACGTCTCAGCGATGAGCTCGACCACTAAAAGCTATTGGGCCAAATGGGACAGCTTGCTGCTTCAGGATGGAGTTCTGTGCCGTAAATGAGAAAATGTTCGGGGAGACAGATGTCATTTGCAATTGGTTTTCCCTAAAGCTAAAGTACCGGATGTTCTACAGCTGTACCATAATGATTGTTCAGCAGGCCATCTGGGAGTTAAACGAACTCTACTGAAGATCCGAGAACCATTTTACTGGGTCCACTGTCGAAACGATGTCGAGGACTGGTGTCGCAAATGTACATGTTGTGCGGCGTGCATTGAGGTTGTACAATGTTGGTGCACCATGTGAGAGAATAGCCATTGACGTGGCGGGGCCGTTTCGGAAGAGTGAAAGCGGTAACAAGTACTTCATGTTTGTGATGGATTACTTCACTAAGTGGCCAGAAGTCTTCGCCATTCCAAATCAAGAAGCTTCAACAGTTGCAGATAAACTAGTTCATGAAGTCTTCTGTCGTTTCCGAGTACCTTTAGAGATTCACAGCGATGAAGGAAGGAATTTTGAGTCTCAAATATTCCAGGAAACTTGCTGAGTTATAGGTACTCAAAAAAGCGAACGACTTCTTATCACCCGCAATGTGATGCAATGGTAGAAAGATTTAATCAGACATTAGAGAGGTACTTAGCAAAAGTTGTAGACAATCGGCAACGAGATTGGGACAAGCACATACAATATTTTTTGTTGTCATATCGAAGCGATGTTCACGAAAGTACATCAGTGACACCAGCTTTCGCAAACTTTGAAACAGTATTACGGATGCCTGCAGAACTGATCACCGGGATACAACATGATGCCCCACGCAGTATAACCGATTATGCTTATGACTTGCGGAACGAAATAAATGACATTTATAAACACGTCAAACAATCGGGCCAGCAAATGTCTGAAAAGATGAAAACCCGGTATGACCGCAAAATGAACAACAAAGAGTTCGACGAAGGTTCACTAGTGTGGGTGCACAATCCAGTCCGCAGCAAAGGGAAATCTCCTAAGCTTCAAGCTAAATGGGACGGCCCGTACAGGATTGTGACCAGGATGAACGATGTAACCTACCGGATACAGAAAGGCGTAAGAGGTACTCCTAAGATCGTCCATGTGGATCGACTGGCACGTTATTATGGGGCCGATAATGCTCAGGACGATCACGTCTTAGGAGGGGGCAGTGTTGCGCGCCTAAGTTGATGTCTGGTACCTGGTACTAGCGCCATCTAGTGTCGGGGAACAGAGTGAGAAGGGCTTCCTAGAAAATGCCTATCTTGACTTTCCACCAAAAGCGCCATCTAGTATTGAATTTGGCAACACAAGCGAAGCTTTGGAGCGAAATAAAGTGAACTGAAAGTGATTAGTGTGATTAATTATTAGTGTTTTTTTTTAAGTTTTAATTTGTGTTCGGTAATTAGTGTTAATTTTGGTAATTCAATCAGCAGTTTTTATTGTCGCGAAACCTAAGTTCGTAACAATAATATAAATAATGAAATATATATATATATATATATATATATATATATATATATATATATATAGAAGTCATTCATCATCGTTACAGCCCTACACAAGTCCACTGCTGAACATAAGCCTCCCCCAAGTAATGCCAGAAAACACGGTCCTGAGCCACCTGCATCTATCAACTTCCTGCATGTCTTACCAGGTCATCACTCCATCTGGTGGGGAGTCGTCCCACACTACGCCTACCGGTACGAGGCTGCCACTCGAGAACCTTTTTTCTCCATCGGTTATCGGCTCTTCGAGCTATATGGCCGGCCTAGTCTATCACGCAGAGAAACTCCGAGCATAGCCCTCTCTATAGCTCAGCGAGTTCCATACCGAGCGACCTTGAGCGTACTCACACGGCCAGCAGTGAAGGACCATGTCTCAGATCTGTAAGTCACACTGGGAACACGCACTGGTTGTACAATCTAGTTTTCAGGGTTTGAGGTATACCCGACGAGAAGATGTGTCGTAATTTACCGAACGCTGCCCAGCCGAGTTGAATCCGTCGATTGACCTCTCGTTCGAAGTTGGACTTACCTAGTCGGACTGTTTGTCCCAGGTAAACGTATTCGTCAACAACTTCGAGCATAGTGCTCCCAACAACTACCGGCATAGTTGTGACATGGACATTAAACAAAATCTTTGTTTTGTCTATGTTCATCTTAAGGCCTATCCGTTGGGAGACACCATTGAGGTCATTGAGGTCATTATTCATAGTGCTTAGGTCCTCCAGCAATTCTGCCATAAGGACTATATCGTCGGCAAATCGAAGGTGAGTAATGTACTCGCCATTGATGTTAATACCGTATCCTTTCCAATCCAGTAGCTTGAAAACATCTTCCAATGCAGCGATGAAGAGTTTCGGGGATATAACGTCACTCTGTCTTACACCTCTCTACAGTTGGATAGGTTTCAAACTCAGGTTCTGTACTCGGATAGCCATCGTAGCCCTACTGTCCAAACACTTCAGCACTTCGATATACCGACAGTGAACTTGGCACCGCTGAAGAGACTATAGCACCGCCCAAATTTCGACGGAATAAAAGGCTTTCTCACAGTCTACATACGCTAGGCAAAGTGGCAGATTGTACTCTCCGGTCTTCTCTACAGTCTGCCGCAGGGTATGTATGTAGTCTATGGTACTGAAGCCTTTTCGAAAACAGGCTTGTTCGGGAGGCTGGAAGTCGTCGAGTCTGCGTGCGAGACGATTCTTAATGAGTCTCGAAAACAGCACGTAGACGCGGCTCAAAAGGACAATAGGTCTGTAGTTCTTCAAGAGAGCGTTGTCGCCTTTCTTTAAAAGAAAGACCACCACACTTCTGCTCCACGCCTCCGGAGTAGTGCCACCATGGAGGACGGAATTGAAGAGCTTCTGAAGGACTTTAAGTGCCGGTATTCCACCCGCATTCAGAAGCGCCGCTGTAATTCCATCCTCGCCTGGGGCCCTGCCATTTTTAAGGTGCTGGAGAGCCATTCTAATCTCATTCTAACTCTTAACTAAATTCTAACTCAGACTAACGTCCGGGATATCATCGGAATATACGAGTATAATATATATAATAATAAAAATATTTTAAATTAAAATAAAATAAACATAATAATAAAGTAGTGCTATCCCAGCCTGGAGAATAAGAATTGAAGAACGTATCGCAAAGGCTAGGGCCCTCATCGGCAGACTGATATGCTTCAGGTCAGGCAATACCAGGCCAAGGATTGTGCGCACCGTCAGGATGGCGTTTGCTGGGACAAATGTTAGTTTGTCCCAGCCGGATATAATGCAAAAACTGACGGAGCGCATAGACGACCTGAAGCAAAGAATAGCTGCTTGGGGAAAGCGGATTCGGCGATATACCGAGAGGTCGACACGGTTCAACCAGAATCGTCTCTTCCAGAGTGATCAGAAGAGGCTCTATAAATCATTGGAGCGACCAATAGTAAGTGGAACGGGCCCTGCACCAAATCAGGCCGACATGGTCGCATTCTGGCGCAGCCTGTGGTCAGAGCCCGTAAACCACAACGAGGGCCCTTGGACGGAAGTTGTGGCGAGTCAGTGTGCGAGTATTACGCCCATGGACCCCGTCATCATAACGCCGGATGACGTAGCTGAGGCGGTCCGTAGGGCCCCGAACTGGAAAAGTCCGGGGCTTGACGGGCTGCATCACTACTGGCTGAAGGGGTTCATGGTGTGTCACTCTGTGCTCGCCCGACAGTTTCAAGAGGCTCTCTACCAGAAGTCGCTCCCAAGCCTCTTCACTACTGGGATCACTCATTTGGTTCCTAAAGATCAGGGTGCCACAGACCCGAGCAAATACCGCCCCATCACGTGTCTACCGACCATATATAAGACACTAACATCCATTTTGAGCGCAAGAATCGCTCGTCACCTGGACTTAAATCAGGTGATGTCGCGCGCTCAAAATGGATGTCGGGGCGGCGGTCGTGGAACCAAGGAACCACTCCTCATTGACGCGGTCATTGGCAAAGTGGTGAAACGCAACCGTCGGAACTTCTCCGCCGCCTGGATAGATTACAGAAAGGCATTTGACTCGGTGCCCCATACATGGCTAAAGAGGGTCCTCGAGCTGTACAAGATTGACTGTACAGTTCGAGACTTCCTCGAGCAGTGTATGGGGCAGTGGAGTACGATCCTCTGTCATCTAGGCGAGCGGATGACGGCTGCGGAAAACCGCATAAGGATAAGAAGGGGTATATTCCAGGGCGACTGTCTGAGTCCAATCTGGTTCTGCCTCTCTTTGAACCCTCTCAGTACTTTACTGGAGGGCTCCGGGAGGGGATTTCAGCTTCGGAAAGGAGGTACAAAAGTGACCCACCTATTCTATATGGATGACCTCAAATTATTCGCCTCCAGTCGCTCCCATCTTATGGAATTGCTAAACATCACGTGTGAATTTAGCAATTCTATTAGAATGGAGCTGGGGACGGATAAGTGTGCGGTCCTTCATGTTGAAAGGGGAAGGGTTGCTAACTCTGAGGGCATAGACTTATCTATGCCCGTCAACTTAAGAACCCTTTCCGAGGCTGAAATATACCGATACCTGGGTATGTCACAGAACATCGGTATCGATGAGGCTGGTATGAAACAGTCAGTTTGCGACGTGTTTTATGCACGCTTGACCAAAGTGCTTAACAGCCTTTTGTCCGGTGTGAATAAGGCACACGCATATAACGGTTGGGTCATGCCTGTCCTCATGTATACCTTTGGCATACTCAGGTGGACTCAGACTGAACTTAACGCCCTGGATAGAAAAGTCCGCACTGCCATGACGTCCCATAGGATGCATCATCCGAGATCGTCGGTAATGAGGCTGTACTTGCCGCGGAAGCATGGTGGTCGTGGCTTCTTGAGCGCGCTCACCATGCATAATCGCGAAGAGTGCAGCCTCCGTGATTACTTCCTTGCGAGATCGGATGATCCATTCTATAAGGACGTCATTTCTTGTGATAAAGGACTTACCCCTCTATCCTTAGCCAACGAGCAATGGCAAGACCCGGCAGTGCAGAGCATTTCCGACTGGGAGACCGTATGGAAGGAGAAGGAGCTCCACGGGAGGTTCTACAAGGCTCTACATGAGCCTTTCGTAGACACAGTAGCCTCCCTCCACTGGCTACGCTTTGGTGATCTCTTCGGGGAAACCGAGGGTTTTGTCTGTGCAATACAGGATCAGGTTATTAAGACCAACAACTATCGGAGATACATCCTAAAGGATGGCACCGTCGACATCTGTCGAGCTTGTCGCCATCCCGGTGAGTCACTTAGGCATGTTATCTCCTGTTGTTCGGCGCTTTCTAACTCTGAGTACTTGCACAGGCACAACCTAGTAGCCAGAATTCTACACCAGGAGCTCGCTCTGAAATACGGTCTCGTGGATCGGAAATTGCCGTATTACAAGTACTTGCCGGAAGCCGTGCTCGAAAATGATCGCGCCAGGCTCTATTGGGACCGGGCCATCATCACAGACAGGACTATTCTTGCGAATAAGCCTGATATTGTGCTGATGGACCGGGCACAGTCAAGGATATTTTTGGTCGACATTACCATTCCGTATGACGAGAACCTCGTGAAAGCCGAAACAGACAAGCAAACAAAATATCTGGACCTGGCTCACGAGGTGACCGACATGTGGGGTGGTCTGCCGACCGAAATTATTCCTGTAGTCGTCTCTGCAAACGGGCTAATCCCAGTCAGCCTCTCGGGTCATCTGAGGCGGCTGGGACTACGTGGCGGACCGCTCCAGGTTCAAATGCAGAAGGCGGTGCTCCTCGATACCGCCCGCATCGTCCGCCGGTTTCTTTCCCTTTCCCCCTAACCCTCGGCCGTTTGGTCTCCCCTGCCGAGGGCCTCCATCTGGTTCGGCTTTTACTTATTTATGTACTTTTATATTTATTTTATGTTATTGATATTTATGTATATTTATCTTTTCATTTTCATTTATAATTATATATTTATAGAACCCAACCAGATGAGAAAACTATATAGATACCCCACAATAATAATAATAAGGCGTTGGGAAGTGACGACCCCATCGCCGTCAGTCAGCGCCTTGCCAAGAGATGTGAGCGCCGTGCCTCGGCAGTACTCAGGATGCAAAGGCTCGTTTGTGCTTACGGCCGTACAATGATACAATGAAACGGTGCCAGGCCTGGGCGTCTCCCGTTAATTGGCGCCCAAAAATGGATAATGGATTTTAATAGAAAGTTTACAAGGCCGCTGCCTGGGGTTCGCTGGGGCGTCTGGAGTTGGCGCTGGACGCGGCAGCATGCGGGCCGCCAGCCAAGCACGAGGAGCTGCAAGATCACCTAGCAACCCCCTGCATCCATCGTCCCCACCAGATGGCTTGATGTCGGCAGGGTCCTCTCAGACTCGGCAAGCGGCATCCGCCGCTGGTGGAGTGCGCCGAATGCGTTGGACAAAAAATATGAACGCAATCGCGTACTTCAGGGCAAAAGGGGAAGAAACTGCAGGGATAGCGTATCGGGCTTGGATGCATTGCTTTTTTCCTGAGCTGGAGCCGTCTATTCCCATCACGGAACAAAACCTGGCAGACCGAGTTCGGTACATCATGCGCTCGAAAATATTTGATGATGCTGAGCTCGAACGATTACAACGTGAGGCCATTCCCTCATCGATTGAATTGGCTACGGCGGGGGCTCCTCAGGTGACAGACCAGCATTCACGCGTGGAAGCCGCCATGGATCTTCTAGTTGTGGTTGTTTCGGACGATGATGATATGGTCTTCCGAGAACTAGAGCAAAAGAGGAGTATATTGGAAGAGGCGATTTTGGAAACGCGCAGCATGCCTCTCAAAAATCGGCCGCGACTTCCCCGCACACTCCTAAGCAAGCAAAATCGGGCTGTCGTGAGGGCTCTTAACCCAATGCTGGTGACCTATTTGGAAGTCAGCCGAGACCTTTGCGAGACTTTTCTTATTGGCGCCGCACTGGCAGTCTGCCGTATTATTGGCGCCAACTTCCCATGGCTGGACTCGCTACTAAACAAATTAGCGTCATCCCAGCCAGGAGAAAAAGAATTGAGGACCGTATCGCAAAGGCAAGGGCCCTTATCGGCAGACTGACAAGCTTCACGTCGGGTAATAATAGACCGAGGGTACCGTTAGAATGGCATTTGCTGGGTCAAATATCAGTTTGTACCAGCCGGATATCACGCAGAAACTAACGGAGCGCATAAACGACCTGAAGCAAAAGATCGCTGCTTGTGGGAAGCGGATTCGACGATTTACCGAGAGGTCAAGGCGGTTCAACCAGAATCGTCTCTTCCAAAGTGATCAGAAGAGGCTCTATAAATCATTGCAGCGGCCAGAGGTATGTGGAGCAGGCCCAGGACTGGATCAGGCTAACACTGTCGCATTTTGGCGTGGCCTGTGGTCAGAGCCCGTAAACCACAGCGAGGGCCCTTGGATGGAAGTTGTAGCGAGCCAGATTGCAAGTGTTACGCCTATGGACCGTCACCATAACGCCAGAAGACGTGGCTGAGGCGGTCCGTAGGGCCCCGAACTAGAAAAGTCCGGGGCTCGACGGGCTGCATCATTACTGGCTGAAGGGGTTCGTAGTGTGTCACACTGTGCTCGCCCGACAGTTTCAAGAGGCTCTCGATCAGAAGTCGCTCCCGAGCCCCTTCACTACTGGGATCACTCACTTGATTCTAAAGATCAGTATACCACAGACCCGAGCAAATACCGCCCCATCACGTGTCTACCCACCATATATAAGACACTGACATTCACTTTGAGCGCGAGAATCACTCGTCACCTGAAGCTAAATCAGGTGATGTCACGCGCTCAAAATGGATGTCGGGGCGGTGGTCGTGGAACCAAGGAACCACTCCTCATTGACGCGGTAATTGGCAAAGTGGTGAAACGCAACCGTCGGAACTTCTCCGCCGCCTGGATAGACCACAGAAAGGCATTTGACTCGGTGCCCCATACATGTCTAAAGAGAGTCCTCGAGCTGTATAAGATAGACTGTACAGTTAGAGACTTCCTCGAGCAGTGTATGGGGCAGTGGAGTCTGTCTTTTGTCATCTGGGCGAACGGGTGATGGCTGCGGAGAACCACATAAGGATAAGAAGGGGTATCTTTCAGGGCTATTGTCTAAGTCCAATCTTGTTCTGCCTCTCTCTGAACCCTTTCAGTACCTTACTGGAGGGCTCCGGGATGGGATTTCAGCTACGGAAAGAAGGGACAAAAGTGACCAACCTTTTCTATATGGGTGACCTCAAGTTATTTGCCTCCAGTCCAATTCCATAAAATGGGACCGATCCCATCTTATGGAATTGCTAAACATCACTTGTGAATTTAGCAATTCCATTGGAATGGAGCTGGGGACGGATAAATGTGCGGTCCTCCATGTTGAAAGGGGAAGGGTTGCTAACTCTGATGGCATAGATTTATCTATGCCCGTCAACTTAAGGACCCTTTCCGAGGGTGAAACATACCGATACCTGGGTATGTCACCGAACATCGGTATCGATGAGGCTGGTATAAAACAGTCAGTTTGCTACGTGTTTTATGCACGCTTGACCAAAGTGCTTAACAGCCTTTTGTCCGTCGTGAATAAGACACACGCATATAACAGTTGGGTCATGCCTGTCCTCATGTATACCTTTCGCATACTCAGGTGGAGTCAGACTGAACTTAACGCCCTGGATAGAAAAGGCACTACCATGACGTCCCATAGGATGCATCATCCGAAATCGTGGGTAATGAGGCTGTACTTGCTGCGAAAACATGGTGGGCGTGGCTTTCTGAGCGCGCTCACCATGCATAATCGCGAAGTGTGCAGCCTCCGTCATTACTTCCTGGTGAGATCGGATGATCCATTCTATAAGGACGTTATTTCTTGTGATAAAGGACTTACCCCTCTATCGTTAGCCAACGAACAATGGCAAGACCCGGCAGTGAGGAGCATTTCCGACCGGGAGACCGTATGGAAGGAGAAGGAGCTCCACGGGAGGTTTTACAAGGCTCTACATGAGCCTTTCGTAGGCACAGTAGCCTACCTCCACTGGCTACGCTTTGGTGACCTCTTCGGGGAAACCGAGGGTTTTGTCTGTGCAATACAGGATCAGGTTATTAAGACCAACAACTATCGGAGATACATCATAAAGGATGGCACCGTCGACGTCTGTCGAGCTTGTCGCCATCCCAGGGAGTCACTTAGGCATGTTATCTCCGATTGTTCGGCGCTTTCTAACTCTGAGTACTTGCACAGGTACAACCTAGTAGCCAGAATTCTACACCAGGAGCTAGCTCTGGAATACGGTTTTGTGGAACGGAAATTGCCGTATTACAAGTACTTGCCGGAAGCCGTGCTTGAAAATGACCGCGCCAGGCCCAACTGGGACCGGGCCATCATCATGGACAAGACTATTCTTGCCAATAAGCCTGATATTGTGCTGATGGACCGGGCACAGTCAAAGATATTTTTGGTCGACATTACCATTCCGTGGGACGAGAACCTCGTGAAAGCCGAAACAGATAAACGAACAAAATATCTGGACCTGGCTCACGAGGTGACCGACATGTGAGGTGGTCTACCGGCCGAAATTATTCCTGTAGTCGTTTCTGCGAATGGGCTAATTCCAGCCAGCCTCTCGGTTTATCTAAGGCGACTGGGACTCCGTGATGGACCGCTCCGGGCTCAAATGCAGAAGGCGGTGCTCCTCGATACCGCCCGCATCGTCCGCCGGTTTCTCTCCCTTTCCTCCTAACCCTCGGCCGTTCGGTCTCCCCTGCCGAGGGCTTCCATCTAGTTGGATTTTTATTTATTTATGTATTTTTTGTATTTATTTTATTTGATTGATATTGATGTATCACCAGATGAGAAACTATATAGATATCCTTTATTTTCCTCTTTGGTTTGGACTATTGTGGAAGCGGATCCATCACAAAAAACTTCAGAGATAGCTGCAGGCTTCGGGGTAAGTGATAAAACTATATTAATTCGCTTGAAGCAAATCGATAAAGTAAAAAAAACTTGAACGATGGGTACCTCATGAATTGAGTGAATCGAACTTGCAAACACGCGTCGACTGCTGTGTTACTTTGCTCAACCGACATAAAAATGAAGGGATTTTAAATCGAATCATTACTTGTGATGAAAAGTGGATACTGTACGACAATCTGAAATTGATTCAGAAAAAGTTACTTGTGAGTGTTTGGTGGACTAGCGCCAGTGTCGTTCACTACAGCTTTCTAAAATGTGGCTAAACGATTACGGTCGATATCTATTGTCAGGAACTGCAAACCATGAAGGAAGAACTAGCCGCTAAACAACCGAGATTGGTCAATCGCTCTAGGCCACTGCTGATTCACGACAACGCAAGACCACACACTGCACAACAAACAACCACTAAGTACACAACATCCACTGTACTCCCCGGACCTCGCTGCAACAGATTAAATTTTTTTCCGGAATTCGGACAACTTCTTACAAGGAAAAAAAATTAAACTCCGATGCGGCAGTCCCAACCGCCTTCAAAGAGTTTATTAATTCTCGCCCCCATGGTTTTTTAGTAATGGGATCAGTGAACTTCCTATGAGATGGCAAAAGTGCATAGATAACAACGGTGCATACTTTGATTAATTAAATATATTTTACAAAAAAATTTACTTTATATTCCTCCCGTACTAAACGCCAGTTTCATATGAAAGGACCTATTATATAAAATTGTTGACATAATTGAAAAGTTACAAATACCTAACTTTCAATTGTACGTGAAAAAAATAGCTACGTAATTCTATTTAAGTATATTTTATTTACAGCATAATGAAAATATATTTTGAATTACGTCGATTGCTTTCACTATTTATTCAAATTACAGTAAGCTACCAAAATAAACCATCTTTGAATGAGCCCCAAAATTCCGAAATGACTTTCCGGAATAATGGCTTACCCACGTTCTACTTTCTATAAGAATTTATGATGCAAGTAGCAAAAATCAATCTACCTACTATCTAATCTAATCACTAGTGATGATATAATGAAATTTTGGACTCAAGTCTCCAGATACTAAAATGCGGCTAGGATGAATGCGTGCTGTCGGTTCCACATTCAAACGCCGAAGTACATATAGCAGATTTTCGGCGTTATGAACATTTTCAAAAGTAAGCTACGTAATCGGATGTCAGCTGAAACAGTCATTGATCTCTATATATACACGTACTTGTATATATAGAGGTCATTGTGAAACAGGGAACTCAAAATAAATATAATTATACGTCATCAATAAAAACTTTCTTAACTAAAGCTGTCACACATAAAGACTTACATTAAAATGTCCTCGATAAATTATTAAAACTGTGAAAAAAGAATAGAACCAGGTGTAGACTCATCATCAGCATTTGGAGGTGATGATGACCATAAAGACGTAGTGGAATTGTCTAATTTAGTTGATTTTAGTACCTAATAAAACTTAAATAAATGAAGATGTCCTTAAATAATCGCATTTTTTCTTATTTTCTTATACATTTACATTATACAACTTGGTGGGTTTTAGAAAGCAAATGTTTGTAAAATATAGCGCAATTTTCATACGGCAGCACTGCACAGAGTACTTTCATATATATACTGAAGTATATCCTCTTATTAGTCTGTGCCAAAGTAGGTTTCTCTGTCTACGACTACAATATTATGATGTCTGTGCTGTCAAGTTACTCTTTGTCTTTGCCCATTCCTATTGTGGTGGTTTTAAAATTAAAATTGCGAATCGAATTTAAGAGCTGTCTGCTCTCGTGTCACGTCTTGTTAGTGGCTATTTAAATTTTAGAGCCGGTGTTTATGTAAAGTTTGCACTGTGGCTAAAGTGACACCATATCCAAGTATGACTTATTCCGGAAGGAATAAATTTGAGGTAAGTCATCGATCTACTGATTTGTTTGTTTTCGTTTTGATTCAAACAGCTGACATCGATGTTGCACCAAGAGCCGTTCTTTGTTCTCGCATGCGTGATACTAGATTATACTCAATAAATTCACATCCTTTTCTAAAGTCATTTATTATAATCTTAGTATTTGTATAGTAATCAAGAAACAGGAGCATGGTAAACAAAATTGCA